CCCCAAAACCCCAAAACCCCAAAACCCCAAAACCCCATATCAAGCTATTTTTGATGAAATATAATGATTTTATCACCGCTAGAATAATAAAAATGAAGTTAAACTCAGCAACTGATTAAGATAAATAAAGAAAGAAACACTTTGAAGATTTAATCAACTTTATTAAAAACCCATTCCTCCTGGGGCTGCTCCTCCTGGGGCGCCACCCTGCATTTGTGCTAGCATTGCCATAGCTTCTGGGCCCATATTTTGTAAACTCTTCTGCATTACCTTTTGGATCTCCGGATCTTGGATCAAATTATAGTATTGAATACACTTTGCAAACTCTTCTTCCTCAATACCATACTTCTCAAATAACTTATCTCCAACCTTGGAATGTTCAACTATCATGTTAATTGTTCCCTCTGCATCATTTGGGTTGCCGAACATTCCACCGGCTCCCTTCATGTTAGCCATGGACTTTGCCTTTTCATCTTCGACATAAATAAAAATCTCTTTTGCTACTTCCTTTGTGACTTTTGGAGGAGCATCGTCTCCTTCTTCAGTACCCATTTGCATTTCCATCATTGTCTTCTGGAACTGAGGGTTCATCTGATGCATTTGTTGGGCCATCATGAACTCTTGCTCTTCAATGTCTAGGTAGTTGAGGACTTCAGTCGCAACTTCTTGGTAAATAGTCTCTTCTTGAGAGATTTGTTGTTTAATGCAGTCCCTATAGCCATCTTCATCTCCATCCTTCAAGAATTGCCTCCTCTTATCATTATTCTTAGCCTTAAAGTTTGCAATCTGGAGTTTAGAGTGTCTAGTGACAAGCTTGAAGATCTTTAAGAAGTCGTCAAACTTTACCATGCCATTAGCATCTTTCTCGACAGAACCAAACTCTGATAGTTCACCGGAGAGAAGGTTCTCTTCTTCTGCAGCATCATCATTAGTCAGGTAGTGGAACAAGAAAGCTCCACCAACGAGGAGAGAGACTCCTCCCATGATCAAAGGTAGTTTTCCTTCCATTTTATATATAATTTTGGTATTTATTAAATATTATATAGGTTATATGGGGTTTTGGGGTTTTGGGGTTTTGGGGTTTTGGGGTTTTGGGATTTTGGGGTTTTGGGG